AGCAGCTGAAGCAAACCTGGTGTTTGCGCAGCTGATTCTGTTCAAAATCAAAGCCTACTAAAGCTACATATTAGAAAATGGAGGCATGGAGTCCGAATCCAAAAACCGAAATAGAAAGATGCATCCTTGATTTGCCTTCTTCGTTCATGGCTAATGGATGTCCATGATATGCACTCATAGGGCCTGATTACACATCTGTACCATGGTAGTGTGCTGGAGTTATATAATTGTTATAGTTTAAACAACTTACAATATTATCAATATGCGTATGGTATATTATCGCATATTATCGCATATTATGATACTGTATATATATATATATGTATATATATAATATATGTACGATATATTATTGCAATATTTCGACATGTCACACCGAGTTTCCACACCGAGGTCGAGAGACGCAAGAGCAGCGGTCAAAGGCGCGTATGGAGCTTCAGCGCCTTGCTGAACAGGTGCGACACCGTGAGAAAATGTGAAAGAAAAATGCCACGAACATGTGGGAAAATCAGACGAAGAATTTGCAAATGAAAAATCGTCATGTTTAACATTTAATTATCATAGAAAGACATTTGTATGTATATATATATAACTATATGTATAAGGCAGCAGCATCGGGTTACCGATGTTACCTAGTGTCTTGACATGGTGACTTTTCTGGTTTGAGCTGGTCAAATGCCAAATGCAAAGCGATTTCATGGTGGAACCTTTTATTGAACAAACACAAACAACATTTGATGAAACTGGATTGACTGACTGAGTGACTGACTGCGAAGACTCGGCAGTGATTTCAGAAGGCTGCAATAAAGAGACCATAGTCAGTGGTAAGTAATGTAACTATAGTAACTAGTTAACTAGTTATTCGCTACAGTACTGTCGATTGTGTAGATGACTGAGAAATACAGAGAATATCCAACCTACATGTACTGCTGGACTTGGAGATCTATGCAGAGGTCAACAGGCTCAGCTGGTTGGCTCAGGTGAAAACTGCAGAAGAGACCATTTCCCGTTCTCAGTTGGAGTCTGATGTCTGATGTCCAATGTAGATTTCAGCATGTCTATGCATGTCTCTTATTGCCTTAAGCCCCAATGTTGCTGCATACTGGCCATTTAATGGCTAGCTCCTGCCGATGTGTGACTTTATGTCCAGACTTGCGATCAAAAGTTAGTTCATAAATTTAGATGTTCACAAGCTATCCGGAAAATAGTTGTCCACTGTTCCACTTCCTGAGAACAGCAGGAAAATTTACAGTACAACCATGCATATGAAGCTGCAGATTTCGGCAAATGATATGTGCTCCTGTTGTCCCTCTATTCATTCCTAGCAATGAACCTGACTTTCTGTAGATATGGCAGTACTTTACTATACTTTACTTCATTTCTGGTACACAGTCTCTGTGTGAACCGAGGCGAGAGGTCCGAGATCACCAAGAATGGCGTCATCGCATGCAGGCCAGGAATGACTGAATGACCACAAAGGATCAAAAAGGCAAGAACCAACGAATCCATACGAATCCTACGAAGACAAAAGTCTCCCCACTATTTAGATCTATTTAGCATATCCTATCAAACCCATTCAAATCCCGGTGTTCTGTACGGCCGACTTGACGTCGTAGATGATGTCGAATGTGTCAGAGTTGCATGTTGTATGCTGGTGCCAGCATGTGCCAGCGGCCAACCTGTGAGGTCCTGATTGGCGAATGTGAAGCTTCAATCGAAGCCAAGAAGGCGGGAAGCCTAGGGCATCTAAAACAAGACACGTAAGCCAAGCACGTTCACCAACTATCAATGTCCCCACATTGTTGTTGGTGACACCATGATCTCGTTTTGAGTCTGTTTGTATTTTTTATTGCTTCTTATGCCTCTTTGATCCTCTTTGTAGTTATTTTGTAGTGCTTTTGCGTGGTTGAGAATCCATAGTCCGTCCAAGCTTACATCTTTAACCATAAATTTAAAGGATTAAAAGTCGTTTGATCATTTCCAGGCTGAACGGGCTTCACGGTCCTTGAGCACGTTGTCATCCGCTGAACTGCAGCGACTGCAGAGTTGGACGCCCATGACCTCGCAGCGAAGCAGCTGACCCCTGGGAATTGTGCTCCGACTGGGAGCACGTCAAATTGTCTTTCGATGGCATAGAATTTCGTATAATTTCTATATATTTCTATATTTCTATATACTCGTATCATCATGCATATCTATCACCACACCAACTTTCACGATTGATACGATTGACTGGGCTCTAAGAACTGTAATAGCCCTGGCCTTGGCTATGCGACTTGAATTACAATTAGATGCGAAGATTGGGGTGGTCAGGCATTCCAAATAGTTTTGGGAGAACAAGTTAGGACTATGTTGTGAGAAGATGGCTGAAGCATGTTCAACCAACAAGGACTCGAGCCCCAGCACCCCGCAGAAGCACTGCAGCCAAAAACCCGCCTGGTTGGCAGTCCCTCCATGGTTTAGACGTGTTTTGGGAAGACTGGAGACCTCCCACCAAGGCCTCACCGATCAGTGCCAGGTGCGGCTGCAAAGTAAATTTTTGCGAAGATCCAAGAAAAAACCAATGCCAGAGATTCTGGCATCATTTTGGGGAGTTTTAAAGATTATAAGGCCAGGCCCAAAGAAGCAGAAATTGCAGTTGGCCAATGTTATACCATAAGACTGAGAACTAGAGAGTATTTACAGCTATTGACATGAGTAACCGACAAAAGTATTGTAATATCCCTCCTACCTTAATGAAATTATTTCAGGGGGGGTTACCCTCCAAAATATTTTTTCAAAATAATTTCAAACATCTAACATGTTGGATGTATAGATTTATAGACTGACTCTAACCATCACCAAAATAATTTCTGGTTGGAAATTATTTTGATGGGTTCCCCCCGTCAGTCAAAATAATTTTGACGTAAACACTCTCACAGCAAAAAAATATTTCAAATAATTTTGGTGTTTGACCTTGTTGTTAACTTTGATCCGATGGCATGTTCCACCTTTGGATGAAGGAATGTCATACACTCAAGTTTCTGCAGGCAGTGTTCACACAGTACTTCTTCGCAGTGATGGCAGTGTTGTAGCTTTCGGAGGAAACGATGTAGAACAATGCGATATCCCATCTTGCACAATGTTGGACTTGCAAAAGTGGCTTACTATTTTTTAGGGCGCTTTTTGCTTTTTTTAGGATTGATGCGTTGCGAATCCTACAACGCAAATAAATTCAACATCATGTTCATGTGTGCTCCCTGGTAGTCATGTCAGAATCTCCCTCCATTTTCAATTGCAGCAAGAACGCATCAAAATTTGCAACTCGAAACCAAACTCGTTCTTTAAGAAATTATTCAAAGGATATTGGAGATACCCTGCACTCCTCAAAAATCAAAGTGAGCAGCTGCCAGAACCATCCAACTCGCCCAGAAAATTGAAAAACATGAAAAATCTATCAAAACCGAACGCTTCCCAAAAAAGAGTTCTTTGGAGGGAAATGAAGGGAATATGGGAGAAATAAGAGGAAATATGGCAGGTTATGAAAATCACTACAGGAAAGGGCCAGGTTGAATACTAGTTACTATTTTGTGGGATTTCCCAAGAGGAGAAATTATTCTAGGGGTAGTGGAGATGCCTTGCACTTCCCAAAAATCAAAGTGAGCAGCTGCCAGCTGAAAAGGAACTATAAACACCGAATGCTTTCCCTTTCACACTCATTCCCACCGAGAGTTCTTTGGAAGGAAATGAAGGGAATGTTAGAGAAATGTGGGGAAGTATGAAAAAAATGGAAATATGTAGGAAAGAGCCAGTGATGAAGATGATGGTTGAACATCATTTTGTGGGAATTCCCAAGTTTTTTTCTTTTTTGTTCAACCATTTAACATTTATATTAAATATGAAATTATTTCAAAACATAGTTATTCCAGGGTATATTGAAGGCTTAGATTATAACTCGCATATTCCAAGATGCACATCCGTAGGCCCACTGCTTAGGAAAATTATTCCAACAACACGTTTTCTTTAAACATATTCCAGAACCTGGTTGATATCCCCGCGTTTTTCTTGAAGGGATGGAATATCCCTGGTACACCTGCGAAGGCGATCATGTCGGGTAGGGGTGGGTCCCAAAGTATACTTGTAAAGCTTGGACTCTCCGGAGGGGGTCAAAATAATTAACTCCCCAGGGGTTGAAATAATTTTTAGGAAGGTCCACCACCCTCGATGAGGGGGGGGATTCCAACGTAAGAAATTATTTTACCCTAAAGAGGGTTGTTTCGTAGAACAACCGAAGACACTATCAACCCCCTGAACATAATTTTGGAAATTGTTTTGAGGGGGGAGGGGGGGGTAGCTAAGGTAGGGTAGATATTGTAATACTAATTTAGTCTTTGCTTCGCCTTGGCCTTTCCGAGGTTGCACAAAACCTTCATAACCGATAGGGGACCACCCTATACCGATACCCCATTTGTGAACCTCTGGGAATACTGAAATCCTCACAACCGATATTCGACAACCCTGATTTGTGCATGGCATTATTTTTTACATATAATTTTGTCCGCTACTCACATGGTACATGCAGTTGGGTTAAGAGTTGAGAGCTTCTCATGATACTGGGGGCAGTAGAGACGCAGCACATCTGACTCGAACCATCGCATCACCTCAGCAGTGTCAAAGTGGGCCTTTCTTGTTTTCCAGATTACATGGAGATATTGGAGACACTATACATATATATATATACAATAATAACAATAATATCAATAATAATAACAATAATAATGATAACAATAATAATAATGATAATAATATATATAAGATATCTATATAAGATATCTATATAATTCTCTATATATATATAATTCTATATATATAATTCTATATATATATATACATATCTACATCCATATCCAACACTTTGTAAAAAGCCTTGTCAGAATACCGCATTATACCACCCCGAATCAAGTCCCTGTGTTCTCCCCAAGACCCTGGATGTCAAGGTTCACTTCTCTAGCCTCTGTCAGGATCTGGAAACGCGAGAAGCTTCAGCTCAGGCGACGATGGGGGGGGGGGTGTTTGGGTATTTTGTCGGATGGAGACCACAATCCCGAGGACTGGGATCATCATGAGTGGTTGAATAGATTGATCATTGAGCTTCTGCTATAGATGTTTCTAGCCTTGGCAGCTGCTCCACATGAGCCCATTTGGAAGATCCATGCGATCAACGGAATGCCGGTGAAGAATTTACTTTTGGAATTTGCAGATCGGCTCCTCGAGATACAATGATTGCTTTCTGTTGTCATCTGCCGCCACGGTTCCGCAGGAAAACCTGCAGAATTTGCGTGCTTCTATGGAGGTCCTTGGGTCAGATACGGAAATTGATCTCTGCGGCAGTTCTTCCAGAAACAAATCCCACTATGTCACCAGGCACTAGCACGCACACGTTGACAAAAGTCACTCGACACGTTTGCTTCAACCTGTTGCAATCTGTTGTATTTGTCCAACTCTTCGTCAAGCGCTGCTCGGCTGCTCAGCTGCACACTGAAACATGATCCTGTCAGCCTTCCGAAACTTCTCGCAGGAGCGTCAAGCAGTCCTTGAGTCCATGCTTCGTCCAAGATTGCACGCATTGGAAGTAGAGGCTGTGGAATGAAAGCACCTGTTTTGCGTTTGCTAATCCAATTGCTTGGCTTGAAGATGAGAGTGAAACAGATGAAACAATGTCAAACATGTGAAAAGAATATCTACGTATTCAATCCTACTCAAACCTATTCAAGTCTAGTAAATTTAGCGACACTTGTAGTCGGGTGTTGTCAGCCCATTGTGGGGCATGGTCAGGGGTTTCCAGTCTCACAATCCCAAGTACCAGTAGTGCCGCACAAGGCGGTGGCGGAAGTTTCAAAAATAGCAAACCTATAGGAGAGATTGGTTGTTGTGAATCCGGGATGGTAGAGCGAATCCACTGATGGACCAAAAGGTGCTTGAGGTCTCCTCTTTTTCTCTCTCTCTTTCTGTGACTATCTACCTACCTACCTGTCTATCTTCTATGTATCTATCTATCTATCTATCTATCTATCTCTCTCTCTCTCTCTCTTTCATCTAATTAGCTATCTATCTATCTATCCATCTATCTATCTATCTCTCTCTCTCTCTCTCTTTCATCCGTCTATCTGTCTAGCTGTCTACCTGTCTATCTGTCTATCTATCTATCTGTCTATCTGTCTACCTGTCTATCTGTAGTGCAGTGTCATTCAGTGTAACGTAGTGTAGTGTAGTATAGTGTAGTGGAGTGTAATGGAATGTAGTGTAGTGGAGTGTAGTGTAATGTAGTGTAGTGTACCGGAGTGTAGTGGAGTGTAGTGGAGTGTAGTTCTGTAGCTGTAGTTGTAGTTTTAGTGTAGTGTAGTGTAATGTAGTGAAGTGTACTGGAAGGTAGTGTAGTGTAGTGTAAAGTAGTGTAGTGTAGTGTAGTGGAGTGTAGTGTAGTGTAGTGTAATGTAGTGTAGTGTAGTGTAGTGTAATATAGTGTAGTGGAGTGTAGTTGTGTAGTTGTAGCTGTAGTGTTGTGGAGTGTGGTGTAGTGTAATGTAGTGTAGTGGAGTGTAGTGTAGTGTAATGTAGTGTAGTGTAGCGTAGTGCAGTGTAGTGGAGTGTAGTGGAGTATAGTGGAGTGTAGTTTTGTAGTTGTAGTTGTAGATGCAGTGTAGTGTAGTGTAATGTAGTGAAGTGTAGTGGAAGGTAGTGCAGTGTAGTGTAGTGTAATGTAGTGTAGTGTAGTGTAAGTTAGTGTAGTGTAGTGTAATTTAGTGTAGTGTAATTTAGTGTAGTGGAGTGTAGTTTTGTAGTTATAGTTGTAGTTGCAGTGTAGTGTAGTGTAATGTAGTGAAGTGGAGTGAAAGGTAGTGCAGTGTAGTGTAATGTAGTGTAGTGTAGTGTAATTTAGTGTAGTGTAATTTAGTGTAGTGGAGTGTAGTGGAGTGTAGTTGTGTAGTTATAGTTGTAGTGTTGTGGAGTGTAGTGTAGCGTAATGTAGTGTAGTGTAGTGGAGTGTAGTGTAGTGTAGTGTAATGTAGTGTATTGTAGTGAAGCGAAGCGAAGCCACATCTGAACCTCCAAAAGTGGTCTGAACCCCGGGTGTTTTTAACATTTTGACTTCGAAATGTGCTTCGCGCCACAACGGCGTGCACTTTTTCGACATCTCAACTTCCAAAAGTGCTCCGAGACGCAGGTGTTTTGTACCTTTTCACTTGGAAATGTGCTTCGCGCCACAACGGCGTGCACTTTTTCGACATCGCAACTTCCAAAAGTGGTTCGAACCCTAGTGTTTTTAACATTTTG